GAAATTCTATGTTATAGAACACTGAAGCAAATCAGTGCTGAGTTTGAAGAGAGATGGACAGTCTATTATCATGAATAACTAAAAATTATTTTTGAAACTAGCTTCCAAAATGATAAAAGAATAAATTTTTTGTCACATTATTTTTATTTTTATCTGCCCTTCAGTTACCCATTAATTAGCCACTACTTTTGAATTGTTAAATTTGACAAGTATTGTTCTTTCTCTTCTTTGTTAGTATTCTCTTATTTTTCCCCTTCAAAAAGTATTTGTTGATAAGTCAGGCAGAGAAGGACAAATATCATATGTTTGCACGTATAGGAGGATTAGGAGGAACTTGACGGAGGAACAAGGGGGAGAAGAAGGGCGGAAATGGTGGGGGAAAGGGAGAGAGGCAAACCATGAGAGACTCTTGAATGCTGACAAAAACTGAGGACTGATGGATGTGGGGGGGAGGGGGGATGGGCATGGAGGAGGGCACTTTGGGGATGAGCACTGAGTGTTATGTAGAAACTAATTTGACAATAAACTATTTGTAAAAAAAAAAAAAAAAAGTATTTGTTGAGTACCTACTATGTGTAGATTTCCTACTATGCTGGAAGGGGTCTTTCAGATTTCTTTCCTTCTTTCTTGCCTTCCCGCTGTTCTTGCCCTTCTGCCTTTTCTGTGCTCCTTCCTTCTATCTTTGCTTGCTTCCTTCCTCACTGGTAGCTCACTGTGTGCTGTCAAGAGGGGAAAGGGATGTTGATGTGTTTCCTGAACTATCTTCCAACAAGGAAACCTATATAGTGTCCCATCTAATTGTTTCTAGTAGACATAGAGGTCTTGAAACTTCTTACAATTGATCTTCTTTTTCTAATTTTTTTCACTGCTTCACTTATGGCTTTCAGATGGGTAGACATTCGATCACATTTGCTGAACTGAAATGGGATTATATGCATGCCATTAGTATTGCAAAGAGTAAGAGGTTCAGAATTTGGGAGGGAGGCACAAAATTGTGCATGGCCTCAGATCCAATGACAATCCTAATTTATCTCACAAAGCTTCTGGAAGAAAATGATAAATATTCTTTAAAATCCCTTAACTTATCTTAATCCTAGAAATGTAAGTAATAATCAGGGCCTGCAATGAGAAGGGAAATAGATGGTTTGTGAGTTCTTGCAGGTGAATAAGCTTGGTATCGTTGATGTGAAATGGCTTGTGGGTAAGAACAAGGGCTTTAGAAGCTGATGGGTGTGATCTGAAGGCTGGCTCTTCCTTCCTTTAGCTACTTCTCTTTAAGGTGAATTTCTCATGTGCAGAATGGGGATATTAATTCCCAAGATTATTGTAAGAATTTCAAATAACATGTTTGAAATACCTCATTTATACACATGAAGTGTATAATAGGACAGCTATTAGAATGCATTCTCATTTGCATTGCTCCTTTAAGAATTTAGAAAACATATCTGCACTTGTATCTTAAAGCTGCAATTGTTCTGGTTTGGGATACTGCCAACTTGATGGAATTACCACTATATGGAAGGAAGAATTGGCTACCCGGAAGTCAGCAAAATCAGAGAGCAGCATGACTATGACTAAGCACTAGAGAGCCCGGTTCCTGCACCTCATTAAGTCCAACTTCAGTTGGCAAGAGCCTGTCTTGGAGCTATCCTTCCAGTGTCCAGACTTCACAAAGAAATGCTTGAACTGTCACTTTCCAGCAAAAGCTGGGTTCATTTTCTTTTGCTTCACCTCTATCTCACAACCCATTTATAGAAAAATTTTATATCATTACCTGTGTTTTTCCTCAACTCTTCAGGTGTTTTCTAATTTATCAGATTGTATGATTTCTTTAAACAATTAACTCCAGGGAATACTAATTACATAGTTGCGTGTCAAGAAACTTTATTCTTTTGGTTTTTAAAAAATTTTTAAATGTTTATTTCTTTTTGAGAGAGAGACAGAGAGACAGAGAGACAGAGAAAGGCTGACAGACAGCATAAACGGGGGAGGGCAGAGAGAGATGAAGACATAGAATCCAAAGCAGTCTATAGGCTCTGAGCTGTTAGCACAGAGCCCAACTTGGGGTTCGAACCCATGAACCATGAGATCATGACCTGAGCCAAAGTCCGATGCTTAACTGCCTGAGCCACCCAGGTGCCTTGAAACTTTATTCTTAAATATATAGAGTTTATATAATTTAGCATAATTCCCTGCTACTCTGATTAGTGTATTCAAACACTATTTGAAAGAGACTACATTTTTCCTTTTCTCCATTTTGAAAAGAAAAGGGGCTAACATAAGAATTCTCTATTTTCTTTGTGATTCTGAAATACATTTTTTGGTAATATGATTAAATATTTTTTAAATGTTTATTTATTTTTGAGAGAGAGAGAGAAAGAGAGCACAAGCAAGGGAGGGGCAGAGGGAGAAGGAGACACAGAATCCAAAGCAGGCTCCAGGCTCTGAGCTGTCAGCACAGAGGCTGATATGGGGCTCAAACCCACAAACTGTAAGATCATGACCTGAGCCAAAGTTGGACGCTTAACCGACTGAGCCACTCAGGTGCCCTTGAAATATGATTTTTAAATGAAGCTTTCAAATAGCTCTTCACCTGTTACCTGTTGAACCTAAGATACTTTATGTTGGTTTGAGAGAGAAGAAAACATTTCCTTGATTTTTCCATGAGCTATTATGTGGGGGAGGTGCCTGGGTGGCTCAGTTGGTTGAATGTCCAACTTTGGCTCAGGTTATGATCTCACTGTTCGTGAGTTCAAGCCCTGCATTGGGCTCTGTGCTGACAGCTTGGAGCCTGGAGACTGCTTTGGATTCTGTGTCTCCCTCTCTCTCTCTGCCCCACCCCTCCTTGCGTTCTGTCCCTCAAAAATGAATAAAAATTAAGGGATACATTCTTTACATATAGTTAGTGAGCCTGCAAAGGATTCACTACAATATATCTAGACAGAGAACTGTCACAGTGCATTTTGAATTATGTTTTGGAGGACAATATCGGGAATCCCACACAAGTTTTCCAAAGCACATTGTGTTTGCTTAAAGGCACACCAGTGGGCAAGAGGAAGGACACTATGGTGGGATGAAATCAGACAACCAGCAGGAGAGGAGCAGTCATTGGAATAACAAGATAAATGCATTGTGGGTCTCCATGGCAACCGAGGACCCCAGCTGATCCTCTGCCCCCTCCAGTGATGGGTAGAACACAGCCCACCTGTGCCAAATCTTCCCCTCTACAGAAACAAATGTTCTATTGCTACATTAAATTGTTCCAAGGATTTCAGGTTATGAAACAGTACCAATTACTTTAGCTGAATCTAAATCTCTAATGCACTTAACAAGAAATGTTTCTCTAATAAATGTTATCAATTTTAAAATAGATACATTTAGAATGAACACAGAGGATGGAAATACATTTTTATGCTACATTTACAATTCATTACGTTTCCCAGGTATGTTTTTTCTGGAAGTAAGCTGACTTGTTTTCCAGCAGAGTCCTAGAAGCACTAATGCCTACTCCTCTCTAGTGAATGTTAGAAGTGGGGAGAAGAGGCAGTTCTCTTAGTGGTTGATTCCAGAGGCCTTCCATTTCCTTAACACTTCTTACCCATGCCCTCCTGTTCTAGGACACTTACTAGTTCTGAGTGTATAGACAATTTTCCTAATCTCTCTGTGTCTTAGTTTCCCATCTATAAATAAAGGTAATAAATAAACTTACCTCATATAGCCATTTGTCAGGATCAAATGAGCTAACATATATTGGAAGACTTTATCATAACAATCAGTAATATTTGCTATTATCATAATTATCCCATTACTTCACCTCAAGGTATCTCCTCTTTTAGTTTCAATATCTGATCTATAAATTCAAGAAGACATCTCTGGCTTACTCCATCTCACTTATTTTCAACTAGATTGCAGAATATATGAATGTGGACACATTTCTTAAGAGATCTTTATGGTTTTAGATCAAGACTGCATCCTTAGAGACTATTTGAGCTAATGAAAAGATCGATGCTGACTTTGGCCTTCTTCAAAGTCTTACCTAAAGGAGAGAACTAGTTAGAGACAAGCCAGTCACACTGGAGTTGAGGGTCAGGTAGTGGACAGATAGATCTGGGTCATACCATAGTTCTGTCAGTGACTAGCTGGGTGCCTCAGAAAAAGGATTGTGACTTTACCAAGACTCTTTAAAGGATCCTTAGGGGTGCCTGGGTGGCTTAGTCGGTTAAGCGTCCGACTTTCGCTTAGGTCATGATCTCGCGGTTCGTGGGCTCGAACCCCGTGTCGGGCTCTGTGCTGACTGCCAGCTCAGAGCCTGGAGCCTATTTCAGAGTCTGTGTCTCCCTCTCTCTCTGACCCTCCCCTGCTCACGATCTCTCTCTCTCTCCTAGAAATAAATAAAAATATTAAAAAAAAAAGGATCCTTAAAATGAGGCTAAAAGTAATTCACAGGATTATTTGAGTATTGGATGTAACGTATGAAAAGCACATAGTAAAGTTCCTTATACTTAGTGGGTATCCACAAGTGGTATCTTACTATTGTAATTACTAGTAATACTATAATTATTATTTATTTTTTAACATGAAATTTACTTTAATATGACAGTCAGGATCCTGATATGTAAATACCTTGGTTCACAGGGCATACATGTAAATGAAGAGTCAATATGTAAGTTCTTCTTCTTTGTGTTCCGTTATATAAATATTGCTAATACTGGAGTAGAAGACATTTTGTATTGCAAAATGATGGGAAAGTAAATGGTAGAACAAAGAAAAAGTGCTAAATGTATAATAAATTCGTTGAGACATGTTCCAACCAAATAGATACATATATCATTATTTGTCTCAAGCTTTGAGACAGATTACGGAGGAAGCATATGAAATACAGAATACAGAAGAAAGATACTTCAAACGTTTTTGGTGAACATGTAATTAAAAATTTATGATATAAATTATCTATTAGAAAAGGTGGGTGGATTAAAGACTCAGTTTTTTTTTTTTGTGACCTGTGTTGGAGGCACTAATTCCAATTCTGAAGCTGACTCAGAGTTCAGGGCGCTTTTCCCACCACTTAGTTCTGGTTGAGATCTGTGCTCTGAGGACCTAGAGGGGATGAAAAAGGGAGATTAATATACATCAAGAAACGAATTCAACTAGAAAGCCAGTCAAGAAATCTAGTTAATTTGGATCATTGAGAGTCATGGTAACAAAGCTCTCAACAGAATTTTGATGAAAAAGAGAACTTTTATATCATTTTACATGACCACGTTTGAAATTTAAGTGGCTGCAATGTGCTAGTCATAATCTAAATCTGATTGATTTAGAATTCAGTTCAATTATGTACAAAAGGTAAATAAATGCAATCCCATTTTTCTTACAAACAGTTCTGCTTTATTAAAAGTATTTTAGGAGGGGAGTGTCTGACAGTGACCCAGGTGTGATTTGATCTTTACACAGAATTTGAGGTGTCACCATAAGCGGAGATGTGCAAGAGGCAACAGGAGACTGAAACATGTTGCCCTGAAGGAAGTTTTGAAAACATGGTAAAATTCAGGTGGCCAATTTTTCTCATGAGCATCCACAGATTATTCTTAATTAGCATATTATCTGACAGTGATGATTAAGATGGTCAGAAAAGAGTACCTGTGTAACCAGAAACATTTAACTGCCATTCATGTGATATATTGAATATGCACACATATGTACATACATGCATAAACCTATTTTTATTGATGGGCTCAGTTACACATTTGGAAAATTATCAACAAATATTGAACAAATATTGAATACTGGTTATGAATTTACCACACTCATTATTGGTTGAACTTTTGACAATTCAGATTTAATACTTAGTTTTAGAAGCCATGGTAACTGACATTGATATATACGGGGTCATACATGGTACCAAGTACTTGGATTGCCTTAATTCATTGGCTATTTCGGTACATGGGAGAAATACCCATACAGTTACATATTAATAGCTATTTTATAATATTACAATATCTTACCATAAAAGTTCTTTTGATCCAGTTCTAGATGAACATGACTTTCTTTCTGTCATTGGATGCCCCTTGCTATTTCGATCTCCATGAAACTTAACATCATCCCATTTTTCCAGTTGTGTTTGAATGTCTATGAAGGCGATGGGAAAAGGGTAAAAGGACAGTGGAATATGAGGTGTAGAGAGAAGAAGAGAGATGAAGATAAAGGAGTTTTATACAAGTGAACTTCACTCAACTGATGCTCCTAAACCCAAGACCAGCTTTTTAAGATTGCATGGAAATTAATTAAAACATGTGCAGCTAAATAAAAATGAGACCCATTCAGAAACATTGGTTTACTTTCAGTTAAACAATCAAGTTGTTTTACTTGAATTTGTTTTAAGAGCTGTTTGTATTCTGAATTCTGTGTATGAGTCCATGGAATCCTCATGGAATGAACATGTGGAGTACTATCTTATCTGCCTCAAGCTAAAGAGGTGACTTTGAAGCACTTCTGGCATGTTTCTAAAAAGAAATTCTGCTTATGCCATCCCTATCAAAATAACACCAGCATTCTTCACAGATCTAGAACAAACAATCCTAAAATTTGTATGGAACCAGAAAAGACCCTGAATAGCCAAAGCAATCTTAAAAAAGAAAACCAAAGCTGGAAGCATCACAATCCTGGACTTCAAGATGTGTTACAAAGCTGTAATCATCAAAACTGTATGGTACTGGCACAAAAACAGACACTCAGATCAATGGAACAGAATAGAGAACCCAGAAATGGACCCACAAACATATAGCCAACTAATCTTTGACAAAGCAGGAAGGAATATCCAATGGAATAAAGGTAGTCTCTTCAGCAAGTGGTGCTGGGAAAACTGGACAGTGACATGCAGAAAAATAAACCGGGACCACTTTCTTACACCATACACAAAAATAAAACTCAAAATGGATGAAAGACCTAACTGTAAGACAGGAAGCCATCAAAATCCTTGAGGAGAAAGCAGGCAAAAACTTCTTACTCAACATGTCTCCAGAGGCAAGGGAAGCAAAAGCAAAAATGAACTATTGGGACTTCATCAAAACAAATAGCTTTTGCACAGCGAAGGAAACAATCAGCAAAACTAAAAGGCAACTGACGGAATGGGAGAAGATATTTGCAAATGACATATCAGATAAAGGGTTAGTATCCAAAATCTATAAAGAACTTATCAAACTCAATGCCCCAAAACAAATAATTCAGCGCAAAAGACATAAATAGACACTTTTCCAAAGAAGACATCCAGATGGCCAACCGACACATAAAAAAAATGCTCAACATCACTCATCATCAGGGAAATACAAATCAAAACCACAATGAGATACCACCTCACACCTGTCAGAATGGCTAACATTAACAACTCAGGCAACAACAGATGTTGGCTAGGAGGCAGAGAAAGAGGATCTCTTTTTACTGCTGGTGGGGATGCAAACTGGTGCAGCCACTCCGGAAAACAGTATGGAGGTTCTTCAAAAAATCAGAGCTATCTTCTGACTCAGCAATTGCACGACTAGGTATTTATCCAAGGGATACATGTGTGCTGTTTCGAAGGGGCATATGCACCCCAATGTTTATAGCAGCACTATCAACAATAGCCAAAACATGGAAAGAGCCCAAGTGTCCACTGACTGATGAATGGATAAATAAGATGTAATATATATATATATATATATATATATATATATATATACATACATACAACGGAGTATTAGTTGGCAATTAAAGAGTGAAATCTTGCCATTCGCAACTACGTGGATGGAACTCAAGGGTACTATGCTAAGTGAAATTAGTCAGAGAAAGACAAATATATGACTTCATATGAGGACTTTAAGATACAAAACAGATGAACATTAGGGAAGGGAAGCAAAAATAATATAAAAACAGCGAGGGGGACAAAACATAAGAGACTCTTAAATATGGAGAAAACAGAGGGTTGCTGGAGGGGCTGTGGGAGGGGGGATGGGCTAAATGGGTAAAGGGCATTAAGGAACCTACTCCTGAAATCATTGTTGCACTATATGCTAACTAACTTGGATGTAAATTAAAAAAAAGAAAAAAAGGAAATTCTGTTTAAAGAGATGAGCCTCACTGTTAAAAGGAGGTGAGAAGAAAGTGGAACACTTCTCACAGGTTTTGTATAAACTGCTTAATTTTTCATCAAAGGGAGGAATTAACAATGGGAATAGAAAGAAAGGATGCAATGGAGGAAGCCAAGAGAATGCTAAAACTATTTTTTCCCTGTGGTTTAATCTTACAGATAAAGAACTTGGCTGGCTTCGTTCTCTTTAATAGGTGTGTGACTGTAAATAAATCACTTAAACAACCTTCGGGTCCAGTTTATTTATTTATAGAAAGATAGGTTTGCAGTCAATGTCCTCCAAAATTCTTTAAGTATTTTTATGACTTCTTCACAGAACATTTTCTCAAAAGCAGAGATATAAAAGTTTCATTTTTAAGTTTATTGTGTTATATTGTAATGCACTTAACATATCCTTAAATAAGTGTGTAAATTTCATTTATTCATTTGTAGAACTGAATAAACTTAGAACATACTGATAGTGAGGAAGTATTGGAGAGAGTTATAAAGTTTTCCTCCAAAGAGAAAGGTGTCAGAGAGGGACGTGGCAGGGAAGAGGGGACGTGTTCTGAAACACTTGCCATTTTTCTTTCTCCTGAGAAAGGAGACCTTAATTTGACTGGTTGCATGAGATGAAGTTAAGTTTTCCTTTCTCAGGAAGATGTATAGTAGAAAAAAGGATAGGCTTTAAAGTTAATCAAAACTAGGCTTAAATTCTAGCTTTTTTTTTTTTTTTTACAGTAATGGAGATATTGGACAAATTATTTAAATTTAAAAACCTGGTTCCTCACTTATTTCAGAATTATGAGGAATTAATGGGCTAATATATGTAAATCATGCAGCATAGTCCTGGATATTAGAAGCCATCAATAAATGGTAGCTGTTATTATTGTATCAGATACATCCCCATGCGTGTTCCATGTTCTGGCTGGCTGTTCCTGAACTTTGTGTTAAAGTTGTTTTTTCTTCTCTCTCAACTGACTATCTCCCAATCTAGATGAAATGCTCCTAGAGAGTAAGAGTCATGTCTTATTCTTACTTGTAATTCCAATGCCTAATATGGCACCTGCCATTTGTCAAGAATTCAACACATGTGGGTTGGATAAATAAACAAATGAATCCACATCATGCAAAATTGAATGGCCCAACTGCTATTTAATCCAAGCACAAAAGAAGTGTGTGCTGCCCGTTTCCTACTTGGAATTAATCTCTTCTATTCCTTTCCCATGGTTTTAATGTCATTTGTGGAATTTCTTTGTTGTACGAAGGCAAGGGCAAGCAGCAGACGACACATGCTATTACCTTACCTAAATCTAAGGATGATGTCTCTGGCCCTCGGAGAGGCTGGCCTCTCTGCTCAGCATCTGCACTGATGAGATCAGATCCATCAGCCTTTTTCTTGAGGGATGAGGTTTTCGATGAGGCCTCTAACTTCTTGGCTTTGGTTTGGGTTTGAGAGACGGGTTCACTCAGGTCAAGGAGATCTAAGCCTGTGGTCAATACTATCAAAGATGGAAGAGGTTAAGATAAGCCCACTCACTGCTCTGAAATTATTTTTAAAAAATAGGATTTGGTTGGGTGCAGAAGGATTTTGTGGTTATAGTATAGGTTAGAAGTATGAAATTAAGTTAGATCACCGTTGATTTGTAAAGATGATCTGTAATTAGAGTGGAAAGTTTACTGTGTGTTCTCCTTTATTTGGTACAGTACAAACACACAAAATAGGACTTAGACCTGCTTCACCAGGAATGAAAGTTCAGATAAAATTAAAATGATAAAATTGAGTCTGAATTCAAGTTCTTACTTTACTGCTGTGCTTTATTTATAGAGAGGTGTACTTTACAGTGCAGTTTTTCCAGAAGAGTCTATCATATTCAGAGATATGTTTACAAAACAGTTATGAGGAAGATTTGGAAAACTTTCTAAATGTCTTTGGTTTTAAATTTCAAACCACTAAAGATATAGGATATAAAGAAATGCTATTAATTACTTTTTATTTAATTAAGCAGTTCAATCAGAGACCAGCTTGCTGTTTGGGCTCACACTAGAGAAGTATCTTATAATCCATAGTTGATGAATAGGTACACATGTTAATGCCTTTGCTGTTTACTATGCAAATTTAAATTTCAACGTAACAAACCATAAAAGGGCTACACTTTAACTTTGCAGCAGGTTGATTACATTGTATTAAATACTCTAATGAAGACAGAAATAATAATTTGTTCAGATGCAAACTAGGCAAATGAGAACTAAAAAGGCAAGCTTTGTAACTCTTCATCCTTCTTTCTCCTACAGTCCAAGTAACCAGGGTTTGAGTAGGTCATTGTGAGAAACAGAAAATTGCAATTAGGGAAGGTCCCTCCAGTCTTGCCTGTCTACCAGCTCAAGTACCTGACAGGCTGGCTTCTGGACTGACCTGGTGTCACTGGCTGGGAATCACTTCACCGCCAGCTAGTTTAGGAAACTCATCAAAGTGAAGAGAAATCCTTGTGTTAACCCTTTCTGGCACCACCTAAAACTATGACTGAACCACTCCTCCTCTTTGATCTCCCAGGGTGTCCTCTGATAAGGAATGGATTTTTGCTGATATCTCAACACTCTTCCATCTGCTCCCCCCTTGCACTCAAGGTGGGGTCAGACCTCGGTTGAACTCACACCCTGGATTTCTTTAGTACCACAATGTCCTCATGAGCTAACCACTCCTATAGGATCCTTAGAATAGTTTGTCAGGCTGTATTCTCAGTAATCTTGTTTTCTGATTTCAATTACAAATCACAGTGGTTGGATGTTAATGGTGAAGTGGAAAGACCTGATTCTACCTCTGCTTAGCTGTGTGACTTGGAGTAAGTTTCTTGACTTCTCTGAGTTTCCGTTTTCTCCTCTGAAAAATGAAGAATTAGTAAGTCTATCTTTTAGGTATGATGTGAAGATTAACTTATCTAATTTTTATATTGAATGTGTAAAGTGCTAGGCATACAATAGGTACTCAATAAATGTTACTTCCATTCTTTGGTGGCCAATTTGTGATGCTTTTCTTTTCATTGATCTCTTATTTTCCCTGCTTTTTTTTTTTTCCATTTTGGGCAAGAAGCAGATCCATACATTGACAGAAAGGGGGAACATCACTGGGAGTAAGGCAGAGACTGAGACAAAGATACTGGTTACAAGGGCTGCTCTGAAGTACATTTATCATAAAATGGCCTGAAAGTGTCAGCTTATCTCCTCTGAGTCTTCCTGAGGAGATGAGAGCCCCTTTCGAATGCTAAGATGCTCTGAGATAGAGCAGTTTTGTGGCTAGCAAGCACCTCATCGTGAGGGGAAAGAAGTGGATTTTAGAGCTAGGCTGCCTGGCTAGGTGTCTCAAATTTAAACATGGCAAGCAGCCAACACAGATTAGGATGTAACACATTTCATATTTGAATATTTAAACAGAAATTTCCAGGCCACTATTATGTTGGCAGAGATTCTAGGCCCACCAAGATTTCCTTATAATAGAAGGAAGGAAGTGGATAACAGTCTCTGGAATGCCATATATGTCTTTTTACATGTTTATATGTGTTTTTACAAACAATTAGGAATTAGTCACTTGCTCCTACACTTCTGTTAGAGGTAAATTATATAGGATTTGTCTACTTGTATATAGGAAGTATATTTATTATGGAATAATAACTGGTGAGTATTAATTTAGTTCTATATCTGCCTCTCACCATTCAGAACAAATGAATTACTAAAAGAGTGAACTGCAAATTCAAACTTGGCTCAGTAACATTCTTTCCCTCTTCAAACTGGGCACTTCCTGTGTTGGTTATGAGCTCTGTGTTCCTTTGTTCTTTTCCCAGCAAATGTGAAACAAATGCTTGGCATACAAAGAGCCTTATTTGTTACCCATTGATGAAGGGGGTGGCTTGGAGGTTGAATGGTAAGCTTTGAAGCTGAGAGAGTCCCTGGGGACTACAATTTCAAAGCATACAAGGATAGGTGTAGCCTTTTACTTTCTGGAGGAAGACAAATTGCATTTTAGCAAGTGTGTGCGTGTGTGTGTGCGCTCGCACGTGTGCATGTATGTGTGTGTGTGTTGTGTGCATGTGCACTTTAGTTAAGACATAGAAATAAAGGGACTCACTGTTCCATCTGGGCTTTAACGGAGGCATACCTTGTCATGGAAGGGTGTATTCTGCTGATTTTCTTAACTGGATTTTAAAGATTCTTTTAGACATGTGAGAGCTTGGGTTCCAGAATCTGTGTGTCTTAATTTAATTTATCTTAATTTAGATAATTACCTCTTACAGTGGATGTGAAAATGTGTGTATGTGTGTGTGTGTGTGTGTGTGAGAGAGAGAGAGAGAGAGAGAGAGAGAGAGAGGCACTAATAGACTTAAAAATGCTATGTTCCTGGCTTTGGAGATGGATGAAGTGGCCACAAGGCAAGGAATTCCAGGTGCTCCTCAAAGCTGGAAAAGCCAGGGAGACAAATTCTCCTTTAAAGCCTCGAGAAGAAATGCGGCTCTGCCAACACCTTGATTTTAGGACTGCTCACTTACAGAATTATAGGACAATGAACTTGTGTTGTTTTAAGCAACTGAATTTGTGGTAATTTGTTACAGCAGCAATAGGAAGCTAATACAGCTTGTAGACCAGTGTCCATACCAGGATGAAAACACAGGCCCTGTCACTCCCAAGCATGTGTTTGTTACCACTCCTCACTAGACTTTATCTGAACCTGGAGGAAATGTGCTAACTCCATTGGTGTGGCTTTATTTTTTTGGTTAGTTCCCAAATTGACAGTTTGGGTAGTCTGAGGCAGAATTTAAATAGTTGGTAATCTCAAAAACTTTTTTTTAAATCACCTAAATTCACTGGGTGGAATTTCCTGAAGATGTAAGATGCTATGTAAGTACTTGTTTCTATTTATCTCAAGGACAACTAATTGAAGATCACTACATATTGAAATGCAAGGCTCCTACAGGGCCCTGAAGATGTTTATGCATGCTAGATTACTTGGGCTGTGGGAGATGAGACTGCTTAAAACAGTTAGAATAAAATAGCACCTATAATGAAGTTCTGATTTGATACACTGATGGTAAGCACAATGGTATTTACACTCCTACAGTATAATGAGGCTCAGATTTTAGGTGAATTTCTCTTAAGGAATAAATCAACATGGAGTGGGTAGAGAGGGCAGATCATGAAACAACCCTGACTGGCGCAGTCACAGAATGTGCCACAAGGAGCTGATGGAATCTCTGTTCTGTTTTGTAAGCTACTCTGTTATTCTAGAAACATGGTATTCTTTAATATAGTGGCTACAAAGCAAAACCCCTTAGGAAGAATTTTGCCAGTGATGTCAACTAGATAAGTTGGACTTAAATAATTCAACAAATTTTTGCTTATTTTATTGGAATATGTAATTAGAGCTACTTCCCACATTTCTAAGTTGTCTCAAGAGGCATGCCATTGGATTCATGGCTACTTGGGCTTCATAGAAATGTATTTTGTAAATATTACACTAATTTTGCAATTAAAATATTCAATTAGGTGGCTGTGACATGACTGTGAACTTTATTAAGGGTGCTCTTCCCTTATATATATGGGTCTCTTATATAGGTACACAGGTCCCATATTAAGGAGTGAAATTATTATTTTTTTTAATCATGAAAAATGTTTCTCCTATAGTAACCAACTAATGGTTCAAGTTTGGGGATAAAATTCTTTTAGATTATACACATTGATAAATGCAAACCAAGGACCTCCTGTTTTTCTTGGTTTTTAAAAAAGAATCTCTCCTGCACTTTGACATATGTTACATTTTTTGGAAGATTATAGACCAACAAGTTATTTTTGCAAATTTTAGTAAATAGTTGGCCTATAATATAATCATGATCTTAATCATGATCCATTGTCTAGTTACTTTCTGAACATTTGATATTTGCATCTGTGATAATGTATATTTATTTGCCATCTTATTTTATTTTATTATTTTTTTATTTGCCATTTTAAAATCAAAGATATTAGCAATGATCTTACTTTACCAACCATTAGAGATACAGTTTGAAAGGGCCAAGAAATTAGATACCATCTAGATTACAGATGAATTAAAGATAATTTAGGGTATTAATGACAAAAAAATTAAAAACGTCTTTATTTGATCAGCTTCATATCATTATCAGTTGACAAGAAGTTAATCCTAAAGTAGAAATAAGCAGAAAGTAAAAAAGATAATTCAATACTTTAGAAAAAGATTATAACTTAGAACTTCTATGAAGCAGAAGATAGATATGTTCTTTTAAGGCTATAGAGGAAAAAAATCCTATCATTTGAGTCACACTTGGAAGAGATAAATATTTCCTATATTGTTTATTTTGTGCTAATTTATATAAGAAATATGTTCCTTAAATACTTAAGTAAATGTCAAGGTGGTAGCACACTAGTTTTATATTTTTATTGGAAGAAAATGCCAAGTATAAATGACTCTCTTAGTCTTCTTGATTGACTTGGTACAAACAGGAAGAAGGTTTTCTTCCATATTTTACTCCAAGGTTGTTTAATATCCATTCCTTATGTGTAAAGATATATATAATACCTGGGGTATAACATACAATGTTCACAGACTGTCCAGATTTCTCAGTGTACTTTCATAGTACTCTATAAAATAACAGTGCTCTATTTCAAATTATTTTCTATTAAAAATTTGGACAGAAGATAATAACTATATCTTTTCCCCAGAAATATTAGCTATAAAATTATTGGACCAGATTGGAATTCTTTCCAAAGTGTTTGTATGTTAAAAATTTTCCTTTTAAAAGATGTATAATAATGTTTCATATCGAGATACCAATAGTGGGTTCTATAATATTTAAGAATAAAGTGTATTTCTTAGGCATTAAAAAATACAGTGTTTCTGTCTTGAGATATACTTTTAAGATAAAAAAACACACTATCAAACAAGAGTATTCCTTCAGGATAAAAATCTGTGTGACCCAGATGCACTGAGTGCTGAGAACAAGAAAAGAAAACCTCACAGCCTCAAAATACCATTATTTTTGAACCCCTACTTTGGAGGATGCCATGGATTGAACAGTTTATCCCTCCAAAATCTCATGTGTTGAAGTCTTAACCCCTAATGCCTTGTAATGTGACTATTTGGAAATAGGGTTGTTGGAAATATAATTAGTTAAGATGAGTCATATTGGAGTAGAAGAGGTGCCGAATCCAATATGGCTGATGTCCTTATGTAAAAGGGAAATTTCGATACAAAGACAGACACAAACACAGGAAGACATGCACACAGGAAGAATGTCATGTGAAGATTGGACTTATTATGCCACAAGCCAAAGAACTACCAGCAAAGGAAAGTTTCTTCCTTTTTGTCCTTCCTAGCCCAGTTTCTTCCTGAGCACATTTAGAGAGAGAATGGATACCTTAATTTCGGTCTTCTAGCTCCCAGAATTATGAAAGACAATAAATTTCTGTTATTTAATCTACTCAGTTTGTGTTATTTTGTCATGAAAGCCTAGAAAACAAATACAGAAGGCAATACTGTAGTATTGCAATCATAAGAAATTACATATGAATTTTTTCTCTAATATTTCATAGACCTCTTTTATATGTTGGAAAAATCAAGGTGAAAGTGGCTTTTGAATAAAATATTATGTTGCTCTCTCTGGTGGGCCCTTTCTAAGTGACTTAGTTTTAATATTAGCAGGAATTGGATTTAACATTAGCAGGAATTGGAAAGTGCAGACAGTACTGGAATCAAGACCTGAAAATTCTATCCTTTGCAGATTTTTTTTAGAAGAGTGGGACCTTCTCAGTGCATGCAATTCTCATGGATTTTTCTGAAACGAGAGACATAAGTCTCCTTTGTATTCTTCTAGAGGTAGCTCTCCAGTTTTGGAGGGATGAGCTCTAGTTTTATAGATGAGGATAGATTTGATCTGGTAAAATCTGAACTTAATTAATTTCCTGCTTAAATGTAGCAAGTATAATTTTATTTGCTTGATTACTCAAAGTGATAGTTGAATTTAGAAAATGATTGCTTTGGTGTGATATAAAGAAAGTTAATGCATTTGAAAAGGGAAGCGTCGGGTATGCTGTTTTTCTAACCTAATATTTAACAGTAATGGTAAAACTTGTTAGAGCTTACATGGTGTTAGGCTCTTACATAGATTGCTTCATTTAATATTCCCAAGTAATCTATGAGATATAGATGTTACCATTATAGATGGTAACAGAGGAAACAGACTTAGTTAAGCAACTTGCCCAAGGACAAGAGCTGCTAAGTGGCACAGCCGGGGTTTGACATTGTGAACTGAGACCCCAGATACTGTAGACTACACTCTTGCATAAAGTGCCTCTATCTTGTGTTACTTTTGCTGTTGTAATTTTTAGCATTTAAAAACCCTCACAATTTCCTTCACTCATGATTTTCTTCACTTAAAAGTATAGTTAAAATATAGCAGGCAACAGCAAGCTGAGGACATGATGGGGAAATGGAATGCATTTAATAAGACAATATGTAATTGTTCTCCCCTTTCTCCATTAAATTCTTTCCTGCAATCTAACATAGCCTTTGTTCTTTGATTCTAAACATCATTTTTTCATCCTTATTTGAATAAGATGCCTTTGAACATGAACGGTGACTGAATAAAATCAATGCAGAAAGGCTGCCTCTGATACAGAAGGTCACTTTTGCATCCCATCTTATGTAGCTCCCTGGGAGTGGGCCCTAACTAAGTGACTTAGTTTTAGCATTAGTGAGAATTGGCAAATGCAGAGGGTAATAGAGGAGATGTGATTCATACCGGTGGGATCCTGCATCCACTCATTGGATGAATACTTATTTGTGCCTATATTCATGTGCCTATACGGATGATAGTTCACTGTTTGGGTGTGTTTAATTCCAGAAGAATATTCAAAGAAATCGTTGTAAGAGGAAACAAGTAACACATTCATATGACAGAAAAAATGAAATTGGGCTCTTCATTATTTCAAGTATCTAGGACTTTTAATTGTGTCATTTCAATCCACTTGAAGGGGTTGCCTACATTTTATTTATTATTTATTTATTTATTGGACCTTTGCCATACAAAATATTTCCAGCCACAACTTTAAAAAACCTTACTCTGAAATAGATGTTTTTGTTTTAAAGATTCCTCGTAATGTGACTTGAGATGCAAGGATGTAAATCTGCATAGAAAAATGGTTTATTGCTAATAGTGGTATGCTAATGTTCAGCAAAATTGGTTGGGTAATATACATTACAGTTTCTTTCATATTACAGAGTGATTTATTATTTTATGTTGAATAATATAGATCTGAACTTTCATTGGTTGCAAACATTACTCAGAATGCATTATAGAAAGAAAATATGCATTTCACTAGAGTGACAATTAGCTCTACTTGAGGATCAGTTAAAAGTGAAAGAATTACCGGCTGTGTTGGACGTTACTGGCCTTGCTATTGCTTCCGATTTGGTTTCACAGAGAAAGTCATCGATGGAGGGACTCAAGAGGGGTCTGCTTTCTTGCTGTTCATTCACCAGCTGAGAACAGATGAACACAGGTATCAAAGGGCTTTGTTACACCGCAGAATCAGATGAATTAAATGCAGCCTTGCAACAAAATGAGAATAGCAAGCCTATAAATAAATAAATAAATAAATAAATAAATAAATAAATAAATGGGTAAGGGCAAGAAAAAAAGATACTAAGGGATGGGGAATGAGCTTTTTAGCACTGTCAACATATTTTGGATGCAGCCAACTTCAGTTTTTAAAGCTCAAGCCTTTTTTTTCTCCTAGTACTGTTTTAGAATTATTTTCCAATTTCAATATATAGAAAATGACACCTATTGAATCACAGTGTCTTAGGGCTGATCCCACTCTTCACTTGGACAAAACACAACTGGCCTCTGACTTTGAGGTGGCACACTGTTTAGGGTGGGCAGTCAGCATTATGTGATAAACACACAGAGATCTGTATGTGTGTGGATAAAGTTCTCCTTTTCTCTCTCTCTTAAAAAACTCAAGTCATCTATGGGCACATATCCTTCTTACATTTCCTTGGGTTGCTTTTGTAGTGCATAACAAACATTATTTTGGAAGAATAGAAAATATTGTTATATTAACTATACATGTATCTTGTAGATATGTTTCTGAAAATCTGTATGTAAAATAGATTTCTGTCAGTTCAGTTGTATTTTCCCATTGGCTTGTTCTCTAATTTTAGAAATCCTTCAGTTTAATTTTTAGTTGGTCTCAAATTAGCAGTGGTGGCCAATTATTAACTTTCAGTTATTCTGCACATCTTAGAATCCAGACTTCCTTAAGTTTTGCTTCCATGGTTAAGGGAAGAAGTGTAATCATGATATGTAAGTGGTCAATTCCTAAATTAACTGTCTTAGTTTTTCAGGAGTTTTTATATTGACCTATCTTAAAATGGACAAAGCCATCTAGTTTTCTACTTCTTTTAAGAAAAAGATGGGCCTAAAAACCTCTAGATTTTTAAATACTGATTTGCAAGGCTGAATTTTCAGAGACACATAAAATAAAGATGAAGTTTTATTTTCTTTATTTTTTTTCTTCATTTTGGATATAATTAAATTCTTTTGTAAAAAGCAGGGACTAATAATAATTCCTATATCACAGCTCTGTGAGTAAATGTATGGAATGGGCCTAAATTAACTATGGTTTTAGAAGACCAGGGTGTTAGATTTCTGTAGATAACTTTTATATGTAAACATTCTAAATTATAACCTGAACTTGATACAAATATTTCTAGAAAAGCTTTTGTCCACATAAATATCTAAATGGAAAAACAAAGGAAAAGGCAGTTGTTCTTTTAGGTAAGCCTATTTATCAAAGGTAATAAGATTTTTTTGGAGCCTCTTAGTCATGAAACTTCAGACTTATTTTCTAGAGAAAGCACTTCTAGCGTTCTCAGATTTTCTCAGCATAGGAAGAAAGAATACCAAAGAGGAGGTTGTTCAGAGAGACCCTATGGTGTCCAGGACTGAGGTATGGCTTCTCCTCTGCCTCGTAAGGTCTCGTAAGGTGTTTCTTCCACACCTACTGTCTTATTTCTGAGCACACATCACACCCAGACTGATGGAGTTGTTACATCTGCCTAATTCCCATAACTGAGTTGTTTCTGTGGTTTTCTTGCATAGATACAAATCAAAGAGGAAATAACAAACTACTTTCTGAGTCTGTGTTTTTCAAAATGGAGCACAGTGTAACTGTTGGGAAATTCTGGGGAGGAGTGGGGGATGGTGGCAGTTCTCTGGGGTGAAGAGGATAAGTGGCCAGACTTCAGCTATCAGGGGAAGGTAATTTGGGAACTGAAAGCTTTTAGTTTTGATGTAGATAGGGAAGATGAAATAAGAAATATCATGAAATCTTTTCTTATAAGCTCTGAAGTCAGAGGCCATGTCTTACTCATACTTATATCCTTCACAACTTCTAACAGAATGTTTTCATATACGAGGGGATCAATAAATGCCTACCAAATGGGACAGTGACTTTGCAGAAAGTGAGGATGTAAAAACATCTACCTTTTGAACTGTGTCTTCAGTTGGATGAATTTGGGAATCATTATTTTAGCCATACTAAGTCCCATTGTATTTGTATTTGTATGTATAAATAAGAATAGCTTCTCGTATGTCCTCCTCTTCATTTTCAAACAAATTTATGGTTTTCCTATGGTGACCTGAGAATAAGTACATCTTTTTGGTCATACAGGAAACTTGCAAAATGAACTGAATCTCCCAAAGAGTTCCTCTCAACTTGCTTCCAAATTATGCTAATTTGTTTGCAGGATATTCGTTGGGAGGATATGACATATTGACTTTCTCTTAGACTTACTTCTTTCAATTGGAAAATACTTTATGAACTTACCTCATTTCATCCTTTGAGTACAGAGTATATTGATGTTATAAAAATAATAGAAAGTGAGTTAAAAGGTTTTCATTTTTTAAAATAATTGAGTTAGAACAATTGTAATTTGGATTAATCAGATTATCAGATCTAAGTTAAAATGGCCCACTACATTAGTTTTTAGGGCCTTTATTTTCTTACTTTGTTTACATTTGATATTTTAATTTCTTATTCTCCTTTGTTCCTCTTCTCAATATTTAAAACAGTCCAATGCCTTTCTAATGGCCACAGATTCTTACTTCTCTTTTAAGACCCCATTACTGGCACATTGTCTGGGAACCTTCTTCAGCAGTAGGCAGTGAGTGTCTTCTTAGAGAATCTCCATGTTGTCATGTTTTACCCAGTCTTATAACTTTGGTTTCACCTGTTTTTTCCTCTACTAGACTGTGACCTCTTTGAGGGTAGAGATCTTATGCAAGTAACTTTTGTATCTCATAGCAGCAGTTTAATAAATATTGACTGATTTACAGTCTCACTGAATGGTGAATTGTATAAAAGAATGATTACATGGGCATCCGAATTTCATACTGGGTTTGATCAACTCATAGACAGGCCAGTGGTTCTCAGAAATGTTACCAAGTTCCTAGCAGGCTTTAAACAATGAATCTAAGTCCATTTTACCCTACCATCACATCATTTAAATGTTTGGAAACTTAGAGTTATCTAAAGGCTCATTCCAAATGCAACGCTTTTACCAAACAATCAAGAATGCAAAGATTGAATGCCTAATGAGAAAAATAAGGGCATAGGCCTGCTCCATGTCATCCTTGGAAGAAGGACATGGCCCAATGCAAATGTGAGGCCAGTGATACTTCAAGAAAACACTACTACCTCACTCAGGAATTTATTTTAATTTAATTTATTTTATTTTACCTTATCTTATTTTATTTTATTATTTTGTTTTGTTTTGTTTTATTTTGTTTATTTTTTGAGAGAGAGAGAGAGAAAACAGGGGAGGGGTAGAGGGAGAGCGAGAATCTAAAGCAGGCTCCACCCAGGAAGCCGGACGCAGGGCTTGATCTCATAGTTGTGAGATCATAATCTGAGCCTAAATCAAGAGTCGGACCCTTAAACCAACTGAGCTACCAAGGTGCCCCTCACTCAGGGATTTTAAATCAGAGACTCAAATTTGAAGATTTTGAGGGAGAACCTTACATGGTCAATGGGCATGGAAACAAAAGGAAATAGCAGAAGTAAGAAGACAGCTGAGCACTTGCATGTAGGGGTTTCTTTGTCACCCAGGATTCAAAAAGACTATTGAACATTTATAGTTTCCTTGTAATCATAGGTTGTGAATGAAATATTCAGTCAAATGCCTTCAATTTACTTATGACTTAGACTGGTCAGTTGATGTGGCTACTATTAAGTACCACAGGATCAAATTGGTTCTTATTTTATATCCATACTGTGTTTAGTATTGCACGGGATGCAGACAATAATATCAGCTTTAATAAATTGTCTGTTTGAAAACTTTATCTAAAAATGCATTTGCCTTAGTTCAACTTGAATTTCTTTAATTGCAGTGTTAAAAAATAAGTTATTATGTAATCGAAGGTACAGGGGAATATTTAAGCAAGATGAAAGTAGAATATTTTGCTTTTAACTACTGCCTGTTACTTAAGCTCCAGTATATGTTTATATTGTTTGCTTTGTAACTTAAACCTAAGTTTATTTATCTTTAAACAATATATTGCTTAGGCGGTTCAATAAAAACACAGAGCTAAAGAATGGTTTGTAATAACATATCACTAAGAATTAACACCAAACCAAAATACATTTTACATGATGAAACAAGATCTTTAAAGGATAATAATCCATTATTCCGTAATTTTTACACTTCAGATTGTTGATCTCAAACTGTTGTTTTAATTTGAAGTAAAATATTCTGTTTTTATTTTTTAAACTCTTTAGTACTTAATTTTAAAAGTTCAAACATTAAAGCTAGTAAGTAAAAAACAGTTGACAAGTATCTCATATTTGAATTTAATTTAAAAAGTAATTTAAAAAGTTTGTAATAATATACCACGTGTCTTACCTCATCTAAATAAAGTTTTACAATTTAAGATTGTTTTGTTTCTATATAAAAATATAAATGGTTTTAGTAGGTATATCTTTATGCATTTTGAAAATTCCTTTATTATTTGTGACATTGTTGATGCGAAACATGTTATTTTTAAAGCAGGTTTTCTTGATCAAAATTTTGTAATTAAACTACTTGTTTATGGCTTTACTAGTCCTTGGCGAGTTTAGAAATCTGTGCGATGACCATCAAAATAGTGACCATGTCAAAACTAAGTTAACTGACTCAATCCACTGAGAAGACAAGACAACTAACTAAATCATTAGGAGTCATCCTTTAAATATTTAGACTTTGAGAGTTTTGTCATTGTGACTCTGACACCTGATGGAAGTAATTTTTTGTGAGCTAGTAATAGTAATAATAACTAATTCTGCTCTGTCCCATCCCCCCTGCCCCCCACCCCAGTAAAGGATAACCATGTGATAACTTTCAATTCTTTGACTTGATCTAAATGTCAACCAACTGACTATAACTATTTTCCTGACAGGATAGTTAGACTTCAAAAATGAGAATCTGTTTATGGGAGAAATGAATAGATGTTACTGTTCACAGCTTGGGTCGTATTAACACTGAGGCAGCAGGAGCACATAAAGCAATTGTTTCAAGTTGGTCATAGAAACCCAAACAAGGCAACAAGGCTATATTTAGCAGCCTTGAGAATGTTTTCCATTCAAGGAAATTATTCTTTTTATGTTTATCAGACACAAAAATAATATCAGTATCTAGGTATAAGGGGTGGGGACTGATAGAAAAACAAAGTCTGAGTTTGCTAAAAAGAAAAGAAAGAAAGAAAGAAAGAAAGAAAGAAAGAAAGAAAGAAAGAAAGAAAGAAATTCCCTCGGTAAGAAGAGATCTGAAACACACTGTTCAGATATTGTACTCTATAGATATCTTGCTAAAAAAAAGTGCTACAGGATGTGTTTAAATGGAAATTTCTGATGGCTCCTTATGAGAAAAAATATTTGCTAACATAATTTCATTCTCATAAAGAATAATAATTTTTTTTATGAAATAAGCAATCTTTTGGCACCTAGTTGTTCCTTCTATCCTCAAATTGGATTAATTTATACTATTAAAGTCTAGAGGAGTGCTGTGCAATAGAAATACAATGAGAACTTGTTAATTAAATGTTTTTTGGTAGCTGCTTTTAAAACACTGAAAGTAAACAGAAAATAATGTTAATAATACATTTTGTTTAACCCAATGTATCCAATCTCAACAAGTAATCAATATAAACATTATTAATGTGACAGTTTATATTACTTTTCTTTGGACAGAATCTTTAAAATCTGGCATGTATTTTATACTTTTAGCACATCTCAATTATGGGTAGTCTCAAAGCACTCAATAACCACGCATGGCTAGTGGCTACTGTATTGGACAGCACAGGTCTAGAGAAACTTTTCCCCTCAAAGACTTGAGGACGTACTATTTTTCCTTCAAACCTTTCATCAATGCACACTTGTTTACATACTGCTTTGCTTCAAGTGTTAGTCTAGGACAGCATGAATCTGAGCTTCTATGAAGTGTTTGACATATTGTTTGCTAATACAGAATTAATAATGAAAGTAAACACAAAGAAATTCTCAGGGGGCCCAGCAATTTCTGAATTCAGGTCACCTGGCTAACTCTTCTGTTTTAGTTCAATTTGTTCAGTGTACTATAAATGACTTTACTGCAGTATGTTTGGCTAAATCCCTCTAAAAGTAACTGTAATAATCAATAATACAATAATACAAAAAACGCTTCAATATAAACCATTCTACACTTACAACCTGCTGACTGAACAGTTAGTAAACAAGTTAGGACTCAGTGTTTCAAGAACTTATTTTGTACTTTATCAATTATGATCGTCCTAAGGACATTATTGAGAGAGCAGCAATTAGCTTCAGACATATCTGGAATCTATGGATGGGCAGCTGGCATCGACATACCAGTGATGAAGATGAGTCAATGTAGTCAGTAGTATGTGGCACTGTGTCATAAGGGGCTTTATAGGAGATGTTTGGACAGACATATTTCAAGACACTAATACATTCACACAGGATAACAAGTAAGAATGTGGTATGGTACACGGATTGGATGCTATGGTTGCTATGAGAAGTACTCACTTTTTCAGATCATTCTGCTGCTTTTTGGCTTGTGCACGCCACTGGTGCATAGCAGGGAAGAAGCCACTTGTGTATAGTGGAAAAAGTATGTCAACTAATAAAGCTGCATTTGACTGAGAAATAATTGTATCACAGCTGTCACTGAATCAATTCCATAAAATCATCAACACAACAGGTGCATTACATTTTATGAATCAGAACTGTCTGCTGATTCATAAGCTAGCCAGTATGCAATAAGAATATGATGCATCAAAGAAAGCATTACATAATCTTCATGCAGTAAAACTGTAACTAGTACCTCAAAAACAGTTAATGCAACATTAGACAGGGATTAAAGAAGGAACTTGCTACACACAAATGTTCTGAATATGAAAAAAATGGTAGTAGTCACAATTCCTTTTCTAAATTAAAAAAAATAAAAAATGTATTTTGTGTTAAATTTTAAATTCAAGTGTAGGTTATAATGGTAATTTTGGACCTTGAAAGGGATTACTGGAAAGCACATAGCAATGCATGGGTTGGAGGAAAGAATTTTAGGTCCTGGAGCCTGTCCTAACTTGTGATAATCTGAAATGATGTTGTAGTACAATATGCCAATGGCAAATCGGGATAGGTTTTCTACTGATGAATATGGCTCTGTCATTAGCCAAGAACTCCCAACTAGTTCTCAGCTCACTTAGCATTTACCTGAGGAACTCTGAGCTGCATATTTTGGACATCGGATCGTACAAAGGGTAGGAGATCAATATAAAACTGTATATGTTCTACTATGTAAATTATGTAAAGGAGACCTTGGTAAATATAAAGCATATTTCTTTGTAACTACTGCTATGTGTGATTGGGAAGAAGCATCTCTTCTTTATGGGTAAAAGCTTGCAATATAAAATTTATGTCAAAGACCTAGGAATCTTTAATAACTTTTTTTTATTATTCAATTTTGATTGTTGTATGTTATGATTTTCATTACTTACAACATAGTGTTTAGAATAAACTAAAACCACACATGTTGGCAGCAGCTGGGGATGTGATCTGATGATATTCTAAAAATAAATTGCCATAATTTAGCTTTTGATATAAATGCCTTTCATGAGGACTGTAAATGGACATGTTTCTAATTCTAGACATGTTCATATAATTGGAACTGAATCACTGCATTTACTATTGCATTACAGAAAAAAGAAATGTTTAAGATAACAATCTAATCTAAATTATAAGAGAAATGCAAGTAAAAATATTTTTCCTTTAAGAATTTAAAACTGATAGTTCCACAGAGTGGTGATGAGTATATTATACATATTTATGTGGATTTTACAGGGTGTTTCATAAGTCCCTGAGGACATACAGGATTCACAGTCTCAGCGTGTCTTTGCATACAAATGCAAACTTTTTTCTATACTTGTAATAATAAATGCTGAAAATGGCTCTCATGCGCTTATAATAGAGATGATATTTTTGTTGTGAAGGTCACTAAGTATAAGAAGGGTCACAAATGCCATTTTCTGCATGGGGACTCAGGGACTTCTGGCTCATTCCTGTAAATTAGGTATCCACATAAATATGTATAGACATATATGTAGTATGCAGAGTCACAACATAAATATATTTAACATTAAGAAAATTTAGATATTCTACCGGTAAACTGACATATGTATACAATAGAACTTGTATTTATTCACAGGAATTTGATTTTTTTTTTGGTTGTTGTTCAAATGTACCATTAGCTTAATTGTTATTTCTTTCTCAAAGTTGTTAACAAGATTCCTCTATAAAGAAGCAACATGGTTTACTTGCACATACATTTTTTTAAAACTAAAGTTGAGTAATGAAAATTAATATCCACAAATAACTAAATTATGGAATTTTCCTTTTTTAGCAATTTTGGTTTTCATTTTATATTGTATAATTGTTTCATTGAAACTGTGTTTTTAAAAATTGGTTCAAGTTAATGTTTTTTTTTTCTTTTTGCTAGTTAAAAATCACAATGTCTGATAGATTAACATATGTCAGCTTCCTACAGGAACCCTATGGGTCTGCCCACCTGTGATGTCATAGTAAGGAGGGGCTTTTCTTCAGCAGACTCCTCCCTCGGTATCTCCTTCATCACCATGGCAACAGCCTTATCTGCCGCCCTAGAGCCTTTTCCCTATAACAGTGAAATCAACAATGACTTGTGTCAGGAGAAATCTTTAACTTATTATTACAAGATATTCTAATGTTTAAAGAGCAATCCAACATAAATGAAGAGGTAGGCTGCTGCAAGTGAATCTTGAGGCTTTTGGCTGAGGAGAAAACACACAAAATCTGAAAAAAGATTATTTGTGAACTTTTAGTTACCTACTTTTTCACCTTTAGAGCTGACATATTTAATTTTAACATAGTATTTTATATGTATAATATGTTTTAAGGCAATTTACATGACATGAACATAATTTTTATAGTATTGATTAAAAAACCCTATGGATTGCCTTTTATGCTCATTTACAAATTGTTCCTATAACATTCTTAAATGTTTTGAATGACAGAGTCCATGTCTGAGATAGGGATTAGAATCAGTATCTGACTCCCACAGAGGGATTTTGCTGGGTGGTCCCTGGAGTCTGTCATTTTTGATTGGATTAGGCATAAAAAGAGTAAAAAGTGTTATAAAACTTCTAAAAATTCTTCAGTGGCTTAACATCACAGAAATTCACCCAGCTTGTGTATTTTGTGGAGATAGTATGACCTTGGTGAAAAAAGTCTGCAACTCTCACTGTTTTTGAGATTGAAGAATTTTAATAGAATTTTAGAAATGTCTTTTAATTGGAGAATCTCATAAATCGAGGTGTAAATAAAGGACGGTTAATAACTGAGGCACTGACATATATATATATATATCCCCACATTTTTTGTCTCCTACAAGCAGAATTTTGGACTGTAAAGGGGTATGTTGGCTTTCTATCATTTTAGTTTACCAGATTATTAAGTTTTTGTGAGTAGATATGGCATAATGGAAAAAACAAAATAAAATATCACCTTCTCAACCCAATTAGAAACATCTTATACTATGTAAAAATTAAATAATCTCTAAACATTTTAAAAACAAAACATCCATTTTCTCAGGTCTCTGGGCAAAGCCTCCCTAGAGAAAATAATTTTTTACTAAGAGCACATATTAATTATCTGTGCTGTAAATCTACTTAAAATACAAATGTAGCATATAGAGATATCATAGGCAAAGATACAAAAATGAACATATGGGGGTTTGTTATCTGAAAGATAATTAAGAACTAGGGTCAATAATAACTCCAGGGGTTGATAAATCTTGATAATTTCCATGCATCAAAAAAGGATGGAAGTGCATTATTATCTTGGGCTTGCAGGGGGCTTTTAAAGTATTTATAGGGAAGTTTTACTCTAGGAAGCAAAACTGTCTATTTTCTCAGGCATTGCTTTTCTAAAATGTAATGAGTGGCAGCTTTTATTTATGAAAGCAAAGAAAAACTTTCTCTATAGTTACTAGATTTTAACATGTGTGAATCTCTTTACAAGGCAGAAAGTTTCTTTGGTGTGTTTTGACTTAACTAGCATTACTGAATGATAATGTGTTATCTCCATGATAGAATAAAAGCTACTAGAGATTTTATTTAGCACATATAACAGTAGTAATTTCCATACGTGTTCTGGAAAGTTTATATGGCTACAATCCTTAGAATAACTGACTTCTGGAAAAATAAAGAAAAACAAGATTTACTGCATAACAAATTGGGATGCATAATGATCCCAGGTTTTTTCTTTATGAAGCAATGTGAACTTCCTAAAACAGAGATGCATACAATTCTGAATTCTGGGAAAATATTTATTATGGCACTATTAAACTATATAACATTTTTTCCAAATATAAACCTTATTTGGATGAAACATTACGTACTATAAAGTGATATAGCTTTAAAAGACTAAATATAGTTTAACAAATATATTTAAAGCTTATTTTTTTAAAAGAGCAAAATCATTTGTGAAGAATTCTTTCCATGCTCCAAGAAGTTCCAATAATATAGCGATAAACAAAGTGGCATGCTTATTTTTAGATTCCTAATATATTTAAAAGAACAAGGTATAATTTTAAAATATTAATAATTCAGAATCTGCTCTTGGGCTAAGAAAAAGATGTCAATTGATAAGCATCTCAAAAAATTTCAGGTCAATATTCCAACGTACCATTTATTTGAAATGCTACCAATCATAAACTATATACAGATATTTTTCACATGTGCAACTATTATAACTAGAATTAGCAACGGACATGCCATTTCACTAAAACAAAAAACAAAACAAAACAAAAATTAGTCCTTTCATGCTGAACTCTAGAACAAAGCAGTGGTCAGCTAGAAAGGATGTATAATAAACACATGCGGTGCTTTTTATTTCTTGCAGAAAAACCCACCAAAGCCAGGGTCAGGTCACTTTTTTGAAGACAGTGCCACTTTTTCTTCAAGGTTACACCTACTACCTGAAAAGAGTCATGACACCCATGTTAGTGCCTGCTAGCAACTTTTTTTCTTTATACCTTTTGGCTTTTGAGTTATTACCCCACGAGCCTCACTGTTTTACGAGTGTGGTACCGTCAGAGAACAGAATGGGAAGGTCCGCCACAATGACATCTCCATGGTTCCAGACAGAATCTACAACCACTGCCAAACCAAATGAATACGCTCATATATCAAAGCAAAATTTCCCCCAGACCATATTGCCACCTCCACCTGGTATCTTCAAATCAAGCTGTGTTATTTCTGACATGTCCATTTATCTTGTGGGGGAGACACATCTAGAATTCAGAACCTGTCTGATAATGGATTTGGCAATTCAGGGAATGGTACTACTCTGCTTATCAGCAGCTCTGCAGGGCTGACAGTGATACACCCATACAAGTCTTTTCGTTTTTGAAGTCAGTGGATTATAACATTGTAAGAACTATGTATGCATAACTATCCAGACTTCAAGCTCAATTTTCTAAATATAACCACACCGAAGACTCAGTATTAGTCTATTATATGAAACAACACAGAGAGAGCAAAAATGGAATATACGCTCAAGCATATAAGTGGATTTAGATTACATTAAGCCTGTATGCTTCTGTGTAATTCTTAGCAACAACAGAAAAGAATAGCGCAATGTTACAAGTTGATCAGCACACTGGGACACCTTCCAGCAATTTATTTCAGCCTATTTCTTTTTGAATAATACTTCAAAATCACCTTTCCCCACTTCCTTATTGAATTTCTTGAGATGGTTTAGACTGGAAAACATCACCATATGGAGAAATTTCTATTTTTATTGGCAATTTGCTATAGAAAATTCTTCAGTATGTTTTCATTTCTTTTATCATTTCGTTTCCTCACCGGTGATATATATATAAAGTGACTGTTTTTCTAACAAATAATAATTCTTGAGAACAATCTTTTTGTTGACTTCTATTATAAGACCAGGCATACATGAATGAAATGCAAGCAGTATAGCAAGTGACACTGACATTTATTAAGAAAATCCAATTTTGGCTCACTTCTCTCTGTTAACATAGTATATAAACAACAGAGTACAAAGTACTGAAATCCCAGGATCTTCACAGGCTGAATACCAGGCTGTGAAGCTGCCAGACATCTTTGGATGAGGAGATATTGGCTACAGGCTGGTCACATAGGGATGAGAACTAAATTATTTGGAGAAGCTGCTATGTGCTAGGCACTCTGCTAGGTGTTTTACCCATTTTTATTTATATGATCACATGAAAGCTCTGTGGGGCACAAACTGTCTTTGCCAGGTAGATGGTGAGGTTCAGAGATGGTGTGATTTGGCCAAAAGCCTCAAAGGCAGCCACCTCCCAGGCTGTGTGCTTCCTTCTCTCCTACGTCCTCCTCACTGATTGCTATAAATGCAAGTTGTTCATATATCTTAAGAAGCAGCCACTTCTCTGTATAATCGCAGAATGTAGGTCTAAGGAAATATTTTTGAAAAATGTTTTCTTCAGTGGGCAATGGTCAGTAAGAATCAGCCGTCCATAACTTCACTCATGAGTATATTGTGAATGAAAGGTTTTTGTTTCTCTTATCCTCATGGAAAACTAACCTACAGATTTCATGTACATGCACTTCTTTTTATTCTGTAGATCTTATCAGGCATATAAGCTTTAGCATCACTTTAATTCTTATTAAATGTTAGCTCAATGCTATTAAATGCCATCTTTACTAGGATTTTCCCGATTTTAGGTACACAAAATATTTCAAGTATACAATTCCACAGTTACATGGACCGTTCATAAGCAATTTAGTTGCAAATTCTATTACTGCTACTATGAAGATTGTAGTTTAAAAATAATTTTTATTATTCTTACTGTATAAACAATAATCCAGACAGAGTGCCTTCAACAGAGATACTCAAAAGTAGAAACGGAAGAGTACATGGGTGGCTCAGTTGGTTGAGCGTCCGACTTCAGCTCAGGTCATGATCTCACGGTTTATGGGTTTGAGCCCCGCGCTGGGCTCTGGGCTGACAACTCAGAGCCTGGAGCCTGTTTTGGATTCTGTGTCTCCCTCTATCTCTGCACTCCCCCCCCCCCCCCATGCTGTGTTTCTCTCTGTCTCAATAATAATAAACATTAAAAAAAATTCTTTTAAAAAGTAGAAATGGAGAAATAGTGTTAGGAGAAAAGTAAAAGACTACAATACTAAACATCACTGCTAACCCCAAAGTATCTGATACATGAATTTAAAAAAATAGACTTTCTTTTGTTCTAAGTATAAAAATTAATACACGCTGTTGACAAAAATTAAGAAAAAGCACTAATAAAAAGATACAAATAACACTGTGACATTTTCATGCATTTCCCCAAAGTTTCATATTTACAATATTGGAGATTAAACAGTTTTTTAGGATCAATGTCTTAAGAATAGGCAAACTACCATCAACTTTACAAGTTTGAGTGTATTCAATATATTTCTTAATATATACATATATGCAAGCAAATACCTGCCATCGATATTAGTTTAGCAACATTATTTTAAATGAAATCATATCTGTTTTGCATATGCTGAAAATTATATATCTCATAAATTCTGGACCCTGGACTTAAACGCACCTGTAAGAAACTGTCTACAAAAAAGCTAATTTCTGATGGTTGTCTTGTCTCCAATGCGCAGAGTCAGGATAACCTTTTTTTTTTAACTCGGGAAGGTAAATGTCATGGTGAGTGTCATTTCCCAAAATGGGAAAATGTCAGAGCAATGCTACCCAGTATCCTCTGAATGCTGGTGGTACCTGCCTAGCATCTTGTGTCCTTTCTCATTTTGTGTGTTCCTATAGCTTGCTTCAAACATAGGGGAGGGTTCAGACTGTGCTGGTTCCATCACAGTTACAGTTCACTCAATGCCACCTCCTCCTCCAACAGAATGTTTTATAAATTTTAAAAGTCGTACAAATAGAACTAAATCTGGGTCTACTGGTCAATCCTTCTTTCTAATCATATAGAAGAAAGCACAGATCTAGATGTAAACAATTAGGACGCATGGACAGAGATTCTTAAGTAGAGATTCATTTGTGGAATTCACAAATCATAATGATTCACTATCAGTTCAGTGATCTGTTTGTAGCTAGAAATAATGTGATTTCCCATTCCTTACTAAGCAGAGTCAAGTTGCAGTGAAGGAATTGCCTCTCTGTTTAAAATAATGAATGACACAGGACATTTAAAACGAGGACTTCCAATCAAATCTCCATATAATTCTTCTTTACTATCCTGTTTTTCTTCCACAGCATTGTTTTTCCAGATGAGAGGTGCACTCTGATCCAAGCCAGCACCTATTTAGGAACTCTAGGAATAGTCTTTCATTTCTCCTATGTAACTATTGTGCCCCTGGTGTGTGTGATGTGTTTAACAGGCACTTTCTGTTGTGCCCTTCTAGACTCTGAAGGTGGTGGGGCTATGGGGTGAGTGGGTAGGAGAATGTCATGGATAACAATCTCTATGCTCATTAACTCTAAACCTACGCCCACAAAAGTCATCAGAATTCTGAGCCCCCCACATGCACATTCATTCTCCTTGGCCTGAGTGATTGGTATAGAGGGATATTATGACTTTCATGGGGCCCTAGCACTTTTGCCTTCATGGGTCCCTTCCTCTATTAAAAAAAAAAAGTCAAAAATCATCTCTTATGACTGTGTTGGTATAAAGACAAATGTAATCCAGGCTGGATTTATTACTACACATTCATTATTATAACGGTCATTTTGGGGGCTCCGATTTTAAGAGAGATTAAAACATTCTTGTGGGCCCTTTAATGGATCTTGGGCCCTATGTACTGTACTGGGTCCACAGTGCCTAATGCCTACATTGAGCCTGGGTTGTGTCTTTTTAAGAGTCAGTGTGGCATCCCAGGTCTGCTGTGCTGTCATCTCTGGGGGCTCTATTTTGGCAGTGGCTGTTGCCACCCTAATAGGCCCTTTGGCTGTGGCGGCTGCTCTCACTACTTCGTTAGGATTCAGGGAGTCTCCCCTAACAGTACTGACAAACCTTATTGGGTGCCCAATCAGTAGCTTTTATCTTATAGCTCTTAAAACACACTCAGAAAATCTGGAACATTTAGGCCGGAGGCAGAAAACACTGGCGTGTAAAATTGATGTGATTCTTAAAATGTAATCTCTCCAGTAGACAGCAAGGCTAAGCACTTCATTCTCTCCTGCCTCAGGGTGTGATCCTGACCATCCAGGAGCACTTCTGAGGAAGTTGAGTCACCCCGTGTCTCTACTTTTATTAAAAAAACAGCCCTCAATGACTGGAGTCACCAACTAGTTCCAAGGTTCTTCATTTTTTTTTTTTTTTTCAATTTCTGTTCCTCAAACAAGGAACAGACTGCCTCGTACTCCAAATTCCTGAGTTGTGCGTGAAGATTAAGCTCCTACCAGGGACCTGGTTATAATCCTTTATTTGTAAAATAGTTTTTGATTGTGTGTCATCAATAAACTGCTTTTAGTGGATGGAGATTTCTTTTGAACCATTTTGCATGATTAGGTATAAAATAGACACTCAAGTTTACTTAATAAATATTAGTATTAAATGCTGGTTTCAAATTATTTAAAATACTGAAATCACATAATATGGCCAACTTTGACCGGAAGTGAATTCTGACTTAGATAAAAAGTCTTTTTTTTTTTCTTATGTTTTCTCTTTATTTTTAGTATTAGATAAAAAGTCTTAAAGACATTTAAATAAATAAGTTTCAAGCATCTACCTAAAACTTCATGAATATTAATAAAATGTTGCCAAGTAAATATGGTTAAAATTTGCTCTGAAGGACAGATAAGACTTATTTTTAATTAACAAGATCCATTTGTCCACAATTTACCATTTGTTTGTTCTGTTGAGAAGGTTAAACATTCTTCCATCTCTCTGTCACCGTGTCCCTGAGGTTTATTTACCTTGTGTGCTTAGCAAGCTCTCTTGACAAATGGTCGAGGTAA